TTTCCCAAGTTCAGGTGATCCCACTGCCTGTGAACCTGATTCTTCAGTAAGAGGATCCCATCTGTTCTGACACAGACACTCTTTATTTTTAGGACAGTTATTGCTATGGTTACTGTGAGCCACAGAGCTGGCCTTCAGTATTGTGTCCCTGAAAAGTTAGTATTTCCCATGGGAATTTTGTAGCAAGAGAATAAATGAAATAAAATACTTCATACATATAGCACAAGAGGAGCTATAATCACAAAACATTCACTTACTTGCGTAATTCATTTAATTGTATAATGCAAAGATTTAAAAATTTTCTTAGCTATTCTACAAGGTAAAAATCACCAATCTATTTAAAATAAGTAAATTTAAAAAGATGTTTGGTTAATTACAAAATCAGCAGAAAAATGTAAGTTAGATGCTGTTATTATTTCCAACTTGGGTTTAGAAATTTAGTAATTTAAATTAGAGTAGGCAGAACATTTGCAGGGGGTAACTAAATGCTTTATTAAATGAGATTTAATAATTTACAAATACTGTAACTGGTAAAAATCTAAAAGCAAAATATTTCTTTTAAGCCATAATGTGCTTTAAAGAGCACTGGAGCATTATTAAGAATTATTCTTTCAGTTTTAAAACAGAAAATGAAAATATATGACACTTACAAATGACACAAAACCTTATGGCTTACATCTGAACTGTAAATAATGTTCTTATTTTGCAATGATTCCCAGAAACATGTCCTTAGCAAGAACCAAAATTCTTTTTAGTTAGTTTTATAATATGTGGTCATATTTCAAAAGAGTTACTTCATCTTTTGGCATGTGAGATTAAACAGAAAGATGTACAAACCTTGAGACGAGAGATTTTGTCTTGACTTATAGACAGCAGGCAGATAGCTTTGGCGGGGGGAGGGGGGTGTTGGGGTGGTAGTGGAAGGATTGAGCAAAAAAGAAGAAAAAGAACTCATGGATGTGGACAACAATGTGGTGATTGGTGATTGCAGAGGGTGGGGGTAGGGGAGTGGGTGGAGGTGGAAGAGGGCATAGAGAGGATAAATGGTGATGGGAAAAATAAAATAAATTTTTTTGAAAAAGAGATTTTCTGTCTGGCCGATGTGGCTCAGTGGTTGAGCATTGGCCCATGCACCAAGAGGTCACTGGTCCAATTCCCAGTCAGGGCACATGCCCAGGTTCTGGGCCCAATCCCCAGTGCAGGGCATACAGGAGGTGGCCAATCAATGTTCTCTCTCATCGATGTTTGTGTCTCTCTCTCCCTCTCCCTTCCTCTCTCTCTAAAATCAGTATAGAAAGAAAAAGAATAAGAGATTGTCTATCTTTTTCTAATAACTAAAGCCATGTTTTAAATAGTTTATATGTACCAAAGGTAATTCAATCAAGTACAATATGGAATTTAATCTTTATATGAGCTAGCATTTTGAAGTTAATTTTTATTTTATTTAATTTTTTTATTGAATTTATTGGGGTTGCATGAGTTAACAAAATCATACAAGATTCAGGTGTACAAGTGAATAATTTTTAAGCATGTAATGTTTATAATATATAATAATACTATATAAAATTAAATACAGAACATATTTTGTATTTAACATAATACATAAAATTAAAATAAAACTCCTCTTTGCAGTAAATTCTTTCTGATAGAATTATTGGCAGGCAAATGCAATTTCCATTGGGTGTTTTAGCCTCTGAATCTCTGAAGCTGATGTTCCGACCCAAAACAAAAACAACAAAAGCAAAAAAACAAAAAAAAACCCTCCTCCCACCCCACCCCCTAAAACCAAGACTCAACTGGAAGATTCCACTCTCATTATCATATCTATTTGAATTTGAATATTTTATAACTCTAGAGATTTCAAGAACCCGTAAGGATTATACTATGAAATGTTGAAATTCATGTTGACAACTGAATGAGAGGCCATATAAAATAACATTTAATTTTTCTTGATAACCTACCTGGGTTTTATATAGTAAGCTATACATTTTAAAACACTTTAATAATATGATGAGTTCGTTGAATGTTATTTTTTAATGACACTGAATACCATGAGAAATCACATTAAACCCCAATCTTTGTCTTAACATTCTATATGTATTATGTAAATATTATCATCTATGTACAACTAAGAATAAACAAATATAGATATAAAAGACAAGACATAGATTAAACATTATTAAATGTTTTGCTAAACATGACTACATGCTATCATTAGTTAATATATCAAATCAATACACTCTTAGAGCAAGGTTCATCATACTTCTGATAGTGAGTCCAAGATCATATTTCAGTCTTCTTGATTATTACTATTATTATTATTTTTTTTCCGCTTAACTTTGTCTTGATTAGGTCATTGCATTTGTAATGTTCTTGACAAAAAGTTCATAGTGCTGTTATTTTCTTGTTTGTTCTTGCATTAGTGGTATTTCCTTTAATCAGCAGTTTCTTTGTAAAAATCTTCTTAAGCTACTTATTTACTTCATAAGGTTAAGTTTCATTAAAACTAGTAGATAACAAATTCCATGAACACATATCAAATACAGTCTGAAACAATTTGCTATAAAGTCCCTTTGCTCACCTCTGTGTTAGGTAGAACTCTCACTTTCCCCTCAGGATATATATATATATATATATATATATATATATATATATATTTTATCCTCACTCGAGGACATTTTTCCATTTTTTGTGAGAGAGAAACATAGACGTAAAAGGGACACATCAAGTGGCTGCCACCCACACGACCCAACCAGGGCCTGGGACAAACTGCAACAGAGGTACATGCCCTTAGCAGGAACCAAACCCGGGTCTCTAGGGACTGCAGGCTGACGCTGTAACCGCTGAGCCAAACCAGCCAGGGCTCCCCTCAGGATATTTTATTTACCATAAGTTCTGTGACAACTTGGTATCCACTAAGTGAGGGAAAACCCCATTTGTCAAATCTGTACATTAAACATTAGCAAAATTGAATTTATTTTTATTAAACGTGTAAATATATAAGTAAATATTTTTTCTTCTCACCCCAATGGATGGTCTTGTACATTCTGGGTTGTGTTTCCATTTGTGGGATCACCATGTTAGAAAATGAGTTTATTCCTTTGTCCACTCCTCACGTGACATGTCAGTCTTCTTACTTACCTGTTACACCTAGATCCTGGCAAGGGTATTCTAAGACTGTGGTGTCAACCTAAGAAATGTCCAAACCTGTAGGTAATATTTATGAGTTTATTTGAGCCAAACTGATGACATATGCTGGCGAGCAAGATCTCAAATGCTCCCACACTATGTCTTTAAAAGGGTTTTCATGTAAACAGCTTAAATTGGGTCTTGCTTTTTGCTCAGGCTGACAATTTTTTATTTTTTATTAAGTTTATGTGATATATATACACAATAGACTACTCAGCCATGAGTTGAAATACTGCCATTTGTGACAACATGGATGGACCTTGAGAGAATCATGCTGAACAAAATAAGACAATGTCTTTTTTTTTTAATGGATTTTAGAGAAAGGGAGAACCATTACTTTGTTGTTCTACTTATTTATGCATTCATTGGTTGAATCTTGTATGTGCCCTGAACGGGGATTGAACCCACAAGCTTGGTGTATAGGGACGACACTCTAACCAACTGAACTACCCAGCCAGAGCAAGACAATCTTTTAATGGAAATGTTTTAGAATTTAAATTTTAGATCATTTGCATTTACTATAATTAATATAATTAAGTTTAAATCTATCATCTTGCTATTTCTACTTGTTCTTTGTTAAACTCTTTCCTTATTTTCTTTCAGTCTTTTTTTATTCTGCTTATCACATTCCATTTACTACTATCAGTTTATTAGGAATTCCTCTCATTTGTTTAATGATTTCTCAAGTTTATATTTACAAAGAGCCCTGGCTGGTTTTGCTTAGCGGTTAGCGTTGGTCCTCGGACCAAAGGGTCATGGGTTCAATTCCTTGTCAAGGGCATGTACCTGGGTTGCAGGTGTAATCCCCGGCCCCAGTCAGGGTTGTGCAGGAGGCAATCAATGTGTCTCTCTCACACGGATGTTTCTCTCTCTCCCTCCTTCCCTTCCACTCTACCTAAAAATCAATAAAAAAATATCCTTGGGTGAGGATTAACAAAACAAACAAATTTACAAAGAAAAAACTCACTCAAGTTTTATATTAGCTTTGCTATTCAAGCAAAAAATATTACCCCTCAACAAGCTGAGCTGTCTCAACTTTAGAGATTTAATTAAAAATTTACAACTCAATGACATGGGGGAGATGTCTAGTGTATTACTGGAAAAAAATGTCAAACTTTTCACAGCACGGGAAAGAGAACTAAAGCAAGAATAGAAAAGATCACAACGAAGAAAAATGAACGATAGACATGTCAACCAGAACTGGGCAGAAATATTTAATAGTATAATATAGGTCTGGTTAAACCACCTGCAGAAGATGGTAAAGCAGCAAGGCCAACTACCATTTAAATCCTATTAAGAGTGCACCCATGTTTATAGCAGCATTAGTTATAACAGCTAAAATGTGGAAGTAATCCAAAAGTCCACAGATGAATGGATAAGCAAATTATGACATATATATACAATATTATTCAGCTTTAAAAAGAAATTTTGAGCCTGGCCGATATGGCTCAGTGGATAGAGTATTGTCCCATGGACTGAGAAGTCCCCATTCAATTCCTGGTCAGGGCACATGCCCAGGTTGCCGGCTCGATGCCCCAGTAGGGGACATGCAGGAGGCAGCCGATCAATGTTTCCCTCTCTCTCTCTCAAAAATCAATTAAAATATATATATTTAAAAATAGTTAAGATGGAAAATGTTATCTCAATAACAAAATTTATCTATTAAAACACATCAATTTGTTCAAATATATGCTGGCTGTCTGCTATATGCAGAATGCACTGTTGCTTGTACTCAACAACCATGTGTTCCAAAGCAAATCTGATATGGCTTAAAACATTTTTTTTTTTTTTTTTAAAGAATGACAAAAACAGACTGGCACACATATTCTTTATTAAATCTTACTAGTATTCTTTAAGGGATACACAGATGAGTAGGCTACAGTGAAGAAATCTTATTTTTATAAGAGAGTTATGAAGTCACTATGATACTTCCAGGTATTATCTTCAGTGATGCTTCTTATCTTTATTTTGGGACTCCAGGTAATATTCAACTCCTACAGCTACCACAAATGCAGCAAATCCCCATTTGAATCCTTTTAATAATGCACCATAAAAGGAAACATTATTTGCAAAGCCACCCATGTATCTCCAAGCTTCATTGCTAGAAGAAAAAAAAAGGAAAAATTATAATCACATACAACTTATGTACATTCACTGAGTAAAGTACATTTAATTTTCATCTTTCTAAATGACATAAATGCAACCTTATATAAGATCATCTAAGTGGACCACAATTGGTGGTATAGGATAACTAAGTCTATATGCCCGCATTTCACATATAAAATAGATCAGCTTTGTGGCTTTGCCTGTACTAGTCACTACAGCTCTGCCACTTATACTAGATTCACAACCTTTTAGGTGGGCAAGTTGCTTAACCTGTCAGGGCCTATTTCCTCTCCTACTCAATGAAAATTACTATCTACTTATAGTGTTGTTATAAAGAATAAACAGGTTAATGTATAATATATTTAGGCACAGAGAGTATGTAATTTGGCATTATTATTACTACTTATAAATTTCTGTCATAGCAGCTTGAAGTTTAGAAGACTTCCTGCTCTGGCAATCATTCTTCTGAGTACCCTAAATCTCTAGAGATGTAAACAGAAGTTAGAGACCTCTAGTGCAAAAAGTCTTTTCTCACAGGCAGTGATAAGTGAGTAGAAAAAAATCATGTTATGAAGAACAAAAACCACTTAATGCTAAAAATCTGACTTACTAGAAAATATGAGGTCTAATCAAATATAATTTAGATACCAATATCAGACAAGGACATTAGAAGAAAACTACAGAGTAATATCCCTCATGAACGTAGATGCAACTATTCCTAACAAAATTTTAGAAAATTAAATCCAGCAATATATATAAAGGACAATATATCATGATGAAATAGGATTTACCTCAGAAATTCAAGATTGGTTTAATCTTTGAAAATAAATAAGAGTAATTCATCATATTAACAGAATAAAAAGCTATGAGAGCATCTCAATAGATGCGGAAAAAGCATTAACGAAATTCAACACCAATAATAATAATAATAATAATAATAGCAACTCACAGTAACTTAGGAATAAAAAATAAAAGAGAGATTCCTCAACTTGATCAAGGGCATCTATGATCAGCCTACAACGAAGATTATACTTAGTGGTGAAAGACTGAATGCTTTCCCTCAACTAGGAAGACGGCAAGAATGTCCATTATTACCACTTTTATTCAACATTATACTAGCAGTGCTAGCCAGTAAAATAATGCAAACAAAATAGAAATTAAAAGTTTACAGATTGAAAAAGCTGTGGTACATATATGCAATGGAGTACTATGCAGCTGTAAGAAAGAAAGATCTCTTATCCTTTGAGACGACATGGAGGGACCTGGAAAGTATTATCCTAAGTGAAATAAGCCCAGCAGAAAAAGACAAATACCACATGATCTCACTTATATACAAATATAATGAACATAACAGTCTGAGGAATAGGGTAGACCCAGAAACATGGAAGTAGGGCACAGATTGACATCCCTCAGAAGAGGGGGTTGGGGGTGGGAGGAGCTAAACCACAGAACTTATATGCATGTATGCATGACCAATGGGCATGGACAACAAATCCGAGGACGGGGCGGGGGTGGGGTAGGGAGGGGGGTGCCAATGGGGTAAAAAAGGAGAAACATCTGTAACAAAAAAAAATTAAAAATTGGGAAAAAAAAAAAGTTTATAGATTGAAAAGGAAGAAGTAATACCATATTTGTACACAAAGTTATTTATGAAATAAAATCTTAAGGAATCTGTAAAAAAGAACTGTTAGAACTAAAAAGTGAATTTAGTAAGGGGACAGATACAAAGTCAACATGTAAAACTCAATTTCATTTTTATATATTAGCAAAAAACAATTGGAAATTGAAGTTTAAAAATACCATTTACAATAGCATGAGAATAGAGAATAATTCAGGATAAATTTAATATGTACAAGACGTATAGTATTTAAAGATATCAATTATCGCCCTGGCTGGTTTGGTTCAGTGGTTAGAGCGTCGGCCTGCGGTCCAGAGAGACCGGGGTTCGGTTCCCGCTGGGGCATGTACCTTGGTTGCAGTTTGTCCCCGGCCCTGGTTGGTCATGCGGGTGGCAGCCACTTGGTGTGTCCCTTTCACATCGATGTTTCTCTCTCTCTCCCTCCCACTCTATCTGAACAAAAAAAAATGTAAAATAAAAAAGATATCAAGATATCAATTGAGCTATAGATTCAATGAGATCCCAATTAAAATTCATGCAGGTCTGCCCTGGCCAGTGTGGCTCATTTGGTAGAAGAATGGTCTCATGCACCAGAAGGTCATGGGTTTGATTCCTGGTCAGGGCATATACCAAATCGCAGGTTCGGTCCCCACTTGGGGCATGTGCAGGAGGCAACAGATCTCTCTCTCTCTCCCCCACTTCTTCCCTCTCTAAAAATAAAATAAAATAAAATAAAATTTAAAAATCCAAGCAAGCTTTTTGTAGAAACTTAAACATTTAGTCTAAAATTTAAATCTAAATGCAAAGAACCTAAAATAGCTTTTAAAAAATGGAGACCTTATGTCACCTGATTTAAAGACAGTGTGGTACTGGCATAAGGGTAGACATATTGATCAGGGTCACAGAATAGAATCCAGAAATAGACCACAGATACTGTCAAATGATTTTTGACAAAGGTATCAGGGTAAATCAATAGGGGAAATACAGTATTAACAAATGGTGCTAGAACAACTGGATGTCCAAATGCAAAACTACTGACTTTCATCCTTATCTCACATGATACCAAAATTAACTAAAAATTAATCCTATGCCTAAGTGTAAAAAAAGAACACTATAAAAACTTCTAAAAGAAAGCATTGGAGAAAATTTAGGATGCAAAAAGCACAAACCATAATAGGAAAAAAATGCCAGATTGAGACTTCATCAAAACTTAAAATTCTTTGACAGGCATTATTAAGAAAATGTAAAGATAAACTACATTCTAAGAAAAAAACATTTGAAAATTTATATCTGATAAAAGACTTAAATACTAAAAATATATAGAGAAATCTCATAATTCAATAAAAGACAAATACTCTGATAAATAAATGGGCAAAATATCTGAATAGCCATTGCACCAAAAAAAGCACAAATGACACCTAAGCACTGGAAAAGATTGTTATAATCATCAGTCTTCATGGAAATGCAAATTAAAATCACAAAGAGGTACAAAATTCACTAAAATGGCTAAAATTAAAAGACCATCAACCAAATGTTGATGAGGACACTGAGCAACTAAAATTCTCATACACTGATGGTGGGAAAAACCATTTGGCAGCTTTTTATAAAAATGAAAATAACCATACACTTATTATATGATCCAGAAATCACACTCTTAGGTATTTACCCAAGAGAAATGAAAACATTATGTTCATACACACGTGTATTTGAATGGTTATAGCATCTTTACTAGTAATAGTAAAAAATGGGAAACAACCAAAAAGGCAATTAATTGGTGAACCATAAACACAAAGAAGTATATGCACATAATGAATATTATTCAGCAATAAGGAAGAAAGGAACTAGGGATATAAGTTAACAATGTGCCTAAGTCTCAAAAGCAGTATACTTAGTGAAAGTGGCCACAACAAATGACTACATACTGTATGATTCCAATTGTATAAAATTCAGGAAAGGGAAAACTACAGAGACAAAAAGCAGAAGCCAGGAGCCAGGAGTAGGATGACACTGAGTGTGAAAGGGACAAGAAGGAACTTTTTGGGAGGACAGAAATAGTCTATATCCTGACTGTGGTGGTGGTTACATAATTGTATACATTTGTCAAAACACATGGAATGGGTAAATTTTACTGTATGCAAATGATGCTTCAATAAAACTGATTTTACAACTTTAATGCAAAAAGCCATTTTCAATACATTTTTTTTTAAAGGAAAATACATTAAAAATAAACAGATGAGTCTCTAGGATAAATTCTATCTAAATTATTTAATTATTCTTACCGGCCCCACGGATCCCTTAGCCCTCGTGCAGCCAGCTTCTCCTGTACAGTTTCTAATGGTGTCCCTTCTATCTTCCACTGTTTATAATCTGGAAGTTCCATTTTACCATGACCATGTTCATGTCCATGTCCATGGGCCATGTCTATAGGAAAAGATTAACATAAGAGAGTAATATGCACATTGTAGCTATCAAATAACCACATTTATTATTAATATTTTAAGGTAAAACATTAAAAATTAATGTTTTAAAAAGAAAACCAACATAAATATTTTAAATTCTGAGTTAAGAGATTTTATAAAATAGCATATTATATAACTAGTGTATGTTCACATATATAAAAATAAATACACATATATAAAATATTAAAAAGAAAAATAATCAGTAATCCCATCATTCAGAGACAACCATTTATTTTTTTCATTCCTTTCTTCATTAAAATAACGGCAGACATTTATTGGGACTGATGTGCCAGGTATGCTAAACCGCTTCACATGTATTAACTCTGTTAATTCCAAAATAACTCTTTGAACTTAAATTACAATTATTATCTCCATTTTACAGATGAAGGCAATGAAGGTAACTTTCTGAAGGTAACAAAAATAGTAAATGGTACAAATTGGTTTTTAAAAATATGTTTTTATTGATTTTAGAGAGAGAGGGAGAGGGAGAGAGAGAAACATCAATGAGAGATCGGCTAATTCTTGTACTCCCCCCCTACCTAGGGTTGAGCCTGAAACCCGAAACCCGGGCATGTGCCCTGGCTGGGAAGCCAACCAGTAACCTCTTGTTGCCTGGGATCACGTTCAAGCCACTGAGCCTCACCAACTGGCTACAACTGAATTTTGAACCTTGCAGTTTGGTTTTAGAGCCCTTGTTCCTAATTTCTAAGCAATACCATTCCCTTCCTTTTAGTCCTTTCATAATGCATAGATATGCATAACAAAAATGTTTTACATGCTGATTTATTACCGCTTTCTTTAGATGATCCTATTAAAATGCAGCATCACTGTGTTTAAATATATATGATCACATGAACTTTTTCTGTAAAGAGCCAGACAGTAAATATTTTACTTTGTGGGCCAAAAGGTAAAATCAAGGCTATTATATAGGTACTTATGTAATGAAAACAAACAATTTTCCACATATATTTTATTGATAAAATGCAAAACATAACTGTGTATAATTTTTTTGTTACAAGGGTCTACTGATGAGGAATTATTTGGGGGGGGATAAGATTTTGCTTAACCAGGGCTTAAAGTTTAGTGTTCCTTAATATCAAATTGATTGCACATTTGCCTGTAAAAACTGTTCTTATCTGATGGCCTGTACACAAAACAAGCAATGGGTTGAATATTTTAAAAAAATTTTTTTAAATAAATTTTTTAGAGAAAAACATCGTTTCTATGGGTTGCAGAAACTGGACCCAAAACCTGGGCATATGCCCTGACCAGGAATCAAACCAGCAACCTTTCGGTATACAGGACGATGCTCAACCAACTGAGCCATATAGGCCAGGGCAGCAATGGGCTGAATTTAGTCAGTAGGCTATAGTTTGCTGATTCCTGAGCTACAGCAACAGAGACCTCAGGACCCCTTTTTAATTGATAAGTTTGTTTCATTAAATAAAATATGCCCTTAATAGTAATATAAATACTTCAGTTTTACTAGTGTTATTATTTTTTTTTTACTAGTGTTATTTTTATAGATAACAAAACAATAAACTTCAGCTCATTGGGTTGTGCCTTCCACTTTCACATCCAGGTGGTGAAAATGTGACATAGCACAACCACTCTGAAAAACTGTTTGGCATGACCTAAAAAGCTGAACATTTGAATATCTTATGGTCTAGCAACTGTACTTCTAGATAAATATACTCTAGATCTGCACTGTCCAATATGGTAGCTACTAGCATTCGAATCTGGCTAGTGCAACTGGGGAACTAGACTTTTTATTTAATTTCAATTAATTTGAATTTCAAAATGAATTCTCAAATTAGTTATTGGAAAATTTAAAGTGTATTTTGAACAATTTGAGTATATGGATTTACTTGATCAACAGTATATTTGAAAAAATATAAACACAGATCAAGTGTTTACATTTATGAAAACAGCATACAAACATATTCTGCAAGTGTAAAATACATCAATTTTGAAGCCAGTATGAAGAAAATATAAAGTATTTCATTAATAACTTTAACACTGATTACATTTTAAAACAGTATTTTGAATATACTCAGAAATAAATTAATTTTATCTGTTTCTTTTTACCTTTTTAATATGGTTACTAAAAAATTTTAAATTACATATGTGCCTTGCATATTTCTACTGGACAACACACTGCTCTAGAGAATCTCTTGCATGTGTATAAAAATAGGTATGTTTTATAAGAATCTTTTTAACCACATTATGATGTAAGCCCTAAATTGTAAACGAACCAACTATCCAACAATAATGGATTATGAAACAGTCACCTACAGAATATTAGTCAATGAAAAACAACATGCAACAGTATTAATCTTACAAATATAATGAGAAAGGGGTGAGTCATAAAAAAAAAATGCATACACTTTGATCTTATTAATATAGATCTGAAACCTAACAATTCATTTTTTTTTTCATCCTCACCAGAGGACTTTTTTTTTTTTTGGGCATTTATCTTCATATAGAGCAGGAGGGAGACAGGGAGGAAGAGAAAGAGAGAAACATCAATGTGAGAGACACATCAAGTGGTTGCCATCCACATGACTCCATCCGGGGCCAGGGACAAACTGACACCTAGGTACATGCCCTTATCGGGAACCGAACCCGTGCCTCTCTGGTCCGCGGGCTGATGCTCTAACTGCTGAGCCAAACTGACTAGTGCTAACAATTCATTTTTTAGGAATGAATCACAGATGGAAAATTAAAGTAAAACAAGTGAATGCCTATCACACGTCAGGACAGTAGTTACCCCTTGGTAGAGGAGATTAAAATCAGAGCTCTACTGGGAGCTTCTAAGGTAGTGTTTTCCAACCTATTTTTAATTCTTGTATGTCAAAGAAGGTTTTTTGGACAGTTGTTTTCTTTATCACATTTTCACCCCTCTCCCACAATGAAATTTTAATACCACAGATATACTGTAGATATGTTTATGTACAAGGCTCTGTAGAGGGCCACAAACCACTGTAGTCTGTAAGATTTTTTTCATCCCCCCACTCCCCGCACCCATCCTCTCAGAACCAATTTTCACCGCTTGAAGATCATCACTTCTGTTTAAAATGCATGTTCTAAATTATTGGTAATGCTTTATTTCCTAATCTGAAGGGTAGTTACACAAATGTTTGCTTAATTATAATTATTTAAAAAGTACTTATGTTTTATACACCCTTTTGTTATGTATACTTCACAGTAAAAAGTAAAATTAGATAAAGTGACAAATTATGCCAAGGACTCAACAACAGGTGATTATTTCCAGTTCAGAGCTGTTCAAACAAAAATAGCAAGGAAATTAGTTCCGCAAAGAAAACCCATGTAATCATAAAAATTTTAAAGTTATCTACCTATGTTTGGAGTGAACCTATTAATTTGGTGAAGATCAACCTCCACTAAAAGGGGCTGGAATCCCTAAGAAGGAAATAAGAGGAGATAATGCTACTTTCATTACATGTAATTTCATGGTTTACCAAAGACTTGCAAGAATATATCCCAATATCCTCTCATTTTTAAATTTGTGGATACTATAAAAACATTAGAAAATAAGAAAAATGAATTTTTAGTGCCCCAGTCCCTGAACCTATGTATATGAACTTTAAAATAGTAAAAATTTTAGAGTAAATCACTCTAAAAATGGATGTTATTTTGTACCCTGCTTTTTTCACTTTAGCAATGTGTCAATAAGATTCACAGCAGAAATATCTCACTTAAAACTATACATATTTGTGAGGCTGGCCTTATAGTTATTTCTAGTTCACAAATTTTTCGATTTGGGGCTGTTCTGCCTTTATTCAATTTAAAGTAAACCCAAAACACGGGACATAGGGTGCTGTTGGTAGCAGAGTAGGAAAAAAGCATCTGGACTTAATAACCACAGTAATTCTCACTGTATCCTTTTACAGCCACCCCTCACTACCACGGCACTTCATAGTTCTCTCCCGCTAGTTCTTCGATCCCCTTCCCTCTGGAGCTACCCACCCTTTATTTATTCTGTCCTTTTCTAAACTCCCCCAAAGAGAATCTCATTCTTATTCCCAGTCAAGAGTTCTCCCACCAACTCTCTAATTTACCTGACAGCAATCTGACCTCTCAGGACATTCAATAGTCAAACCTCCATCCAGAGCCAACCGGAAACGGAAGTTGTCACCTTGAGTACCTTCCGGTAGAAAAGCCGAGAAGCTATTTAAAATTCTGGTACGGGGTCTCAGATTTATGGGCCAGGTGGAGATGACTTGAAGGGCTGAAAGTCGACATTTTTTTCCGCACCTCTGTGCATCTGTGGTCAACAAAGATCAGACAAACTGTGGAGGACAGAAGGGCGGGAAAGAGGCGATGTTTTCCTTGCTTGGAGACCGGAATCTTTAGACACTGCACAGAGGGGAGGGCCGCGGGCATCTGCAGCCAATAAGTGAGGCTGTTGTTAGGACGTGGACTCACCCAGTGGGAGGGCTGGTTGTTGCGCTGCAGTTGGCAGGCTGCTGCGGGAGGCGGTGGCGGTAAGAAGCCAGAGGCAGCGGGGTGACAGGTAAGCGGCCGCGCTCCCTTTCGGGGACGCAGAGGGCTACGTCGGGAGGGATTTTCATCTCCGGCTGCAGAAGCTATAGAGGGGATCTGACCAGGTTGGTCTGGGAAGGTGGTAGCCGGAGTGGTGGTGGTTCCGAAACCTTTCCTAGACCAGGTAGCCGCTTGGGAGGTCGTGACGAGGAGAGGGCAGCTGAGGAGGGTGGAGGCTGAGCCCTGTGCCACGACGTGGGGGCCTAGGGCGTGGAGGGCTGCGGTGCGCCAGCAAAGAGAGGAGAGAGGCGAGAACAAGACGGTGTCGTGGGAGCTGGAGGAACCCCCTGCACGAAGCTTGGGGAGAGAAAAGGACGCGGTATTGCCGGCACCTGAGAGAAATCCTGGGGATTGCTTCTTAGGACCATTTCTTGGGGTTGGAAGGGGGAGCGGAGAAGAAAGATACTTACTGGCGGTCAGATCTTTGCAACTCTTCATAGCTATAAATTATGTAACCTTTGGCTGTTATTTACACAAACAACTAGGTTGACCCTCTTGGACGTGGAGGTCTGGTAACTCATTGATGTGTCAGAATAGTTTTTTCGTTCGGTTGTGTGCTTTCTACTTCGGCAGGCTCTGTAAATGTGGACGCATGACGGATAGAGTGGTCACGAAGATCTTTTCTCAATGTGGACTTGAGTCGAGAGATTCGTTTGTTTGAGATGAGCGTGGCCAGGTCCACACTATGTAGGTAATGAGTTTATTTGTTTTGAGGGTCAAGGCTGATTAGAAATACTTCTTTTTTTCTAATCTTTAGGAAGGTCGGAGAGCCTCAAAAATCTATAGTGGGAGGTAAGTGCAAATTGGAAAAGGACTAGAAATTCCGTTGTTAGATATTTTACCCTTAGATATTGTGGATGTTAGAGACTGAAAATAAAGTGGTGGTCTGAATGGGGAGGAGGACATGCAAAAGTCATCTTTTAAGTAATTTGTTCTGTAGGACCGAGGAACTAGTTATGGCTTATTTCTTAGGTTTAAAAAATATGTGTGTTTCTTTTTAACTTCTCTGACTGAGGTAAACTGTATTTATAGACATAAATAACAATTATCATGTTTTTTCTGAGTTTTTATAATTCATTGTTTACACAGTGAACTGTACAATTAATAGAGGAAGTTCATTATGTATATGTTATGGAAGGACAAACTACATTAAAAACTTGGTTTTGTAGCTCACTGTAAAACAGTTTTTTAAAAAAGGCATTTTAAATTGCTAAAGTGTAAGCTGATTCAAATGTTGCCTTTACCTTGGAAGATAAGGACTAATGTAGTATTAGCAAGTGTACTATACTTTTCCTTTTACTATTAATAATTTATATTAGTATGTCCCAGAACCTAAATCAAAAATTCATTTATTTGTCTAAATATCATTTGGTAAGGAGAAGTGGATCATTAGGGTTTGTTAGTTCTGAAATGGAACACTGAAATATTTATCAATGCTTCAGATAAATATTTTGGCACTTAGTGTTTCATTGTCTTTTTATTTTTTGCAAGAATAATATATCAGTCACAAAGAATACTTCTGCTTCTATTTTAGTTGCAGTCTGTAGTATGAGTACCTATGAACAAATCTGTTTTTTTGTAGGGTGGTGTGTGTGTGTGTGTGTGTGTGTGTTTGTTTCTTATTATGTAATCAGCCTACTAGAGCTGTCTTAGCTAATGGCTGATTTTTAATGGCCAGTAGGTGTCATTGTGGAATGCAATAAAGTTTGAACAATTGAGTAGGAAATTGTCAAGTGATTTAAGAAACAGTAGTCCAAATTAAAATATAATAATAATTGGCTGATTATTTATACACTATTAGAAGTCCACTGTTCTAACACACTTTAGTATCAGAGCTGTTTATAAGAAATTTGAAGCAGTGACTATAAAGAAGTATGATCTTATGCTCTAAAATGGACCTTGAAAGTTTGTTTTTGAATCCCACTTCTTTTTGTTTCTTTCTTTTAATCCTCACCCGAGGATATTTTTCCATTTACCTTCAGATAGAGTGGGAGAGGGAGGGAGGGAGGGAAGGAAGAGAGAGAGAGAGAGAGAAACATCGATGTGAGAGAGACACATCGACTGGTTGCCTCTTGCACGACCCCGACCAGGGCCAAACCGAAACTGAGGTAAGTGCCCTTGACTGGAATTGAACCCGCAACTCTTCAGTCCTTGGGCTGATGCTCTAAACTGCTGAGCCAAACTGGCCAGGGCTTAAATCCAACTCTTAAGCCATTTCAACATTCAATAGATTTAGTTTGATTGTTTTTAATAATACACAGTTTTGGCATCTTATAGTAGTTTACTAAGTTCTAGAATAATTAAGATTTTTCAGCTCGACTGAGCTTTATAATAGAAAAACTAATGCTACATAATAAAAAACTAAAATGATAAAATATGGGCAGAAAGTCTCCAAACAAGTTATCAGCTGCACAAAACAATACTTTGTTATTATTCTTTTAATACAAGAACAGAGGAGTTTTTATGCTTTTTTTTTTTGTCTGTGGCTTAGTTTTTTTAATGTCCAAAATAGCTTCTTTTTACATTTTTGTCTCGCTAGTAGTCTATGTGCTTTTCTCGGGATGATGAACTGAACATTTGTCATTGTCTAAAATGTGATGCAGTGGATTCTGGAGGGAGCTGGCACAGAAAGTTCTGAAGGTAGCTTATAGCTGGTGTGAGTATAACAGCTTTACCTGCAGAGCCTTTTACTGAGCTCCTGTCACTGTAGCTCTGCTCCTTTTGCCTGCTATTGATACAATGTTAAAAATAGAGTTGGATCTAATTCAGAAAATTTCCATGAAAGTGGAGAGTTTTACACACACACACACACACACACACACACACACACACACACACCTGCTCCTAATTAGAATAATGTAGGAGTTTTTTTAAAGGCACACACACATATCTGTTATATCATCTCCACTTCCCTTCAGAATCTAGTGGTAGAGGGAATGTGAAGGGAGGTAGATACACATACTTTGAAGGAAAAATCTCTCCTAGATGATATGGTTCACCACTGGTTTTAACTTTCAAATCATTGATCTAATAATTCAAGGCTCTCTTACTTGTGATATGAACCAGTGACAGTTTTTGCTTGAGAGAAGGGGCTACCAAATCTACCAACATTTTTATAGTTAAATAAATTTTCACCATTTAATGTCATAGCTGGCATAGATTTTCTAACCTAGAGCTAAAGTTGCTAGAAATAAAAATTGTACTTAATGTTTTGGTTTGGAATAGTTTTTATTTGGCACTTAGCTGCTTTCCATACACCAAGCTAATTTCTTTCATGATTCAAACTGTGTTATTTTGCACAGATATTTACTTATATCTTGTTCTCTGGAAGCTATCTAATTCTAGAATCAAACTACAATTGGAAAATAAGAATTGGAAGTTTTGTTGATTAAAGGTCTTTATGCAATATTGCTATGATAGAAAGAAGATAGACATTTAGCTTTTATGTAAACATTGTATTTGCGGGACCTTCAGGTTATCCTCATCTAGCAGACAATTATCTTAATAGAATAGGAACTAGAGATCAAGGAAAAGCTCTAGATTAAAAATATAGATTTGAAAACCATCACATTTAGATGCTAATTAAGTAAATAAGATTAAAGGGACAGGGTATAGAATGAGAAGAGATTGGACAACAGAACCCTGAAAAACAGACACATTCATTTCCTCTAGTTTTTTCCCCCTACAAACGATAAGTACTGTGATAGACTGTAAATTCATAAAGTAGAAAGGACAGTATACTTCCCCCTTCCCATTCCCTTTTTCATTTAAAAAGAAAGAACCACCAAAAATAAAATAAAATAAAATAAAAAGAAAGAACCACAAAAGGAATACATGCTGATTAAAAAGCCTCAATACTACTATGTGTGATACTATAATGGTAGATATGTGTCATTATACATTTGTCCAAACCCATGCAATGTACAAGACTGAACCCTATGTAAACTATGGGCTTTGGGTGATAATGATATGTCAAGGTAGGCTCATTATAACAAACGTACTACTCTGTGAGATATCAGTGATGGGGGAGAGGGTATATGGGAAATCTCTGTACTTTCCAGTTTTGCTGTGAATCTAAAACTGTTTTAAAAAAAAAAAAAGTCTAGTAAAACCAAATTTTAAGCCTCAATACAAAAGAATATGTAAAAGGCGTAAGTTTCACTCCCTGCTTGGCATAGAACTCGTCCACCCATTTTTCAAAAAGTACATGGGAAAAGGAATTTAAGGAGGTAAACTGACAAATCTTAGTAGCTAAAAAGATTAAATTAAGAATTAAGCACTATCAAGAGCCAAGGATTATGTCAGTTATTCCTCAATTTTAAAAACAGTCAAGGGTCCAAGAGGCATGAATACATGGAATAGACTGACAGAGGCCCATGGACATACAATAATGTGGTGAACGCAGCAGGAGCAGGGGGCTGGGTGGAGTGGGGCAAAGGGTAGGAAATGGAGGACAACAATACAAAAATAATAAAAGAAGCTGAGGGTCCATAATGACAAAGGTGATAGATAAATTTGTGTAACATTTTTTTTGGAGTTCACTGTTTTACAGATAGACCAAAATAACTATTTTGTAACCCATGCTTTGCCATTCAATAAATTGGTACCACTTACTATATTTTACTACTACTTTTCTAGCAGTTATATTTCAAACCTAAAAAGAACTATAATTTTATAAATAAAGTCACACCTCTTAATATATTACATAATTAAGTTTTCTCGAAAAT